TTTATTTTCAGTTGCTTATCTTTCTTTTTGCGAATTTCGTCTTATTATGATGAGGTGAAATGTGGGGATGTAAGCTGATACATACATTTCCCATTTTCTACGTCGTTTATATCTACTTGTTTAACGCTTTTCAACGAAAGATGCTATCACAAAACCTCTCGATCAACGCAATTCGATATAGCTTCAGTCCGTTGAGCTTTGTTATGTTTCGAGATAACGATTGGTAGATACCTGATCGATACATTTCGAGCCAAACCTGAGACGCATCTGATTTATCATAGGTTTCCTATCCCTATGTTCTAATCAAACGTCTAATGAGCAGAGAAGCTTAAAAACCATGTTAGTGAAGCTGATTCTTCTGTGATTACAATACTGTGGTGGATGCCCTTTCTCATAAACTTAGATAGTCAGCGACTGAAAGCATGGAATTGCGATCATCTAACCATCACGCTCAAGTAATAGTCCAAAGTCGTAATCTACAATGACATCTGGAGTGAAATCGAAGAAGACTGCTATTTCAAACACCCCAAGTTTCTTGCGACTTTCTCAGCTTCTGAATCAAAGACTAAGGGGCGTTATTCCATTAACGTTAATAGAGTGAAACTGAAAAGTAAGTAAAGATCGGCTTAGCTAGTTTTAGGTATCCCACCAATTTTTCTAGTAATGTGGTCTTGGAATAAGTCCCCAGTTCACCTTTCCGCCATGTTCCCAAACCTCCATACATTTGAATAAGCTTTTAAGTTGTCGCCGTTGCTATTATATCAGAAAGTAACCGACTAGAAGGCATTAGTATATGACACCAAGCCCTGCCTTTATATTGCTTCTCAAGTCTTAGGTCAAAAATAGAAATGAGTAACTAAGTAATTCAAGAACGTTCACCGTAGCAGACTCGGAGAATCAAAACAGTGAGGATGTAAACATATTCAGAGCCCCTCCAATGATAATAAGTAAATGTCAAAGGAAATAAAAGTACATGCATTATCTAAGGATCCCTAACTCTGGTTAGTGATTCTGCAGGAGCTTTTCTTAACAAAGTGAGGCTTCGAACATCACGCGTCCAACCCTCATCCTCTATCTGGATTGGGACCGACAGAAGTTCGAGAGGAGTTCCAGAACGAAAAATTTCCGTCATATAAAATTTTCAGTGATACTTCTAAATGAAGTTATTAAAATAAACAAATGAAGCCAGAGGAGCTTCAGCTAGCTGTAGACTGTTGTTAATAAAAATTCAAGCTAATACTTAACCAGTTAACGCCTAGGAGGGATACTGATATCAACATTCCATGTTTAAGGAGACTGGGATTTTCTCGTAGCCTAAAAATTAGGAACCAGTATAGCCTGAAAGTCTAAGTATGTGTCGCTCATTATGGAGCACATGCTTAGAATCAGATCATGCTCTAGTGCGGGCACGTATCTGTCTGCGTCTTACTGGACGTAGGAAAGACACTGAGATGAAACCTTTTAGGGTTCTACTTAATGATAGGCAAGCTAATAATATATTTTAGGAACAACTAAAAAAACAGTTAGACAGCCATGCAAGTTGTGCCCACTCCGATGGAGCGTGGAATGACATCCGAAAAGCTGTGGAAACAGCAGTGATATCTGCTAGTAAAGTAAACAATAAGGTTAGGGAGAAACATTGGATTTCAGCAAAATCTATTGCATTGATAAACGCTCGAAAACTCATCCCATCTGGCTCTGAACATAACGAGGAGCGGAGTCAACTTAAGCGCAGGCTAATAAGAAGCCTTCAGAATGATCGCGAATAGTGGTGAGTAGTGAAAGCAAGAGAGATGGAAAAGGCAGCGGCAATAGCTAACAGCAGACAACTATTCAGACTTGTTAAAGAGACCGGTATTGGGGACCCAACTTTTAGCGAAACTATCTCGGAAAAAGACGGACATATCATTCATTCTCAACCCAGTAGATTGGATTGATGGGCAGAACACTTTGGGGATCAGTTCAACTGGCCTTCAGCGACACTTCGGTTTCCCACGATCCCCAGTCGACCTGAATGGCAAGTTAACGTAAGTCCACCAACTCTTTACGAGGTCAAAAAGAGTATAGGAAATCTGAAGCGTGGAAGGGCAGCAGGTTTATCACTGAGATTTTTAAGGATGGCGGTCCAGTACTAGCAACGAGATTGACTGAGGTCTTAGGTAGAATCTGGGAACTTGACGTAATTCCATATGACTGGTCCCAATAACTGAATATGCCAGTCTATAAGAAAGGAAAAAAGCCCTCTTGTGACAACCACAGAGGGATCAGTTTGACCAATATAGTGTCTAAAATATTAGCTTCAATAATACTTCGACGTCCAACCAAAGCTCGTGAAGAGCAGACGAGAGAAAACCAAGCTGGTTTTTGGCTTGGACCTGGTTGTATAGACCAGATATTCACTCTACGTCACGTCCTAGAACATAGACACACATTCAGACGTCCCACAATAGTAGTGTTTCTCGACCTTAAGGCGGCATTTGACTCCGTTGATCGTGAGGTTCTATGGCAGTGTATGTCACTGAAAGGAGTACCAAAGAAGTACATTAACCTTATAAAGGCTCTCTACTCGAACACAACTGGTCGAGTTAGAGTCTATGGCAAACTGTCGGAATTGATTACTTCAAGTGGTGTTCGTCAGGGATGTCCACTCTCTCTATTCCTGTTTAACTTTGTCGTTGACATGCTTTTAGAGATAACACTTTCATCATCTAAATCTCCTGGATTTGAACTTTTTCCGGGAGACTCACCAGATGACTTAGAACACGCCGATGACACAGTCCTATTTAATGAAGACGCTCACAAAATGCAGTCTTCTGACCACTATAAGCAACTACGTACGCATGTTCGGGATGAGATTCTCCCCTCGAAGTGCAAAATGTTACTTCTGGATTGGGTTGCATCGGCACCCGAACTAATGATAGGGAGTAAAGTAGTTGAGCTTGTTGACCGCTTCACTTATCTTGGGAGTCTCATCAGCCCTTGTGGTCTCAGCACGGATACAGAAGGCTCGCCTAGCAACCAAAAGATAGGTTTACTGCGCAGCAGTTCGTTCCGTCCTACTTTATGGTAGTGAAACATGGCATATAAGAGTAGAGTATATTCGTAGGCTACTAGTATTTGGTCATAGGTGTCTTCGAAGTATTGCTCGTATATCCTGGTACCACCGAGTAAGTTATGTAGTTGTTAGGATACAGGTACTAGGTAAGGATGGCAAATTGACTGAAGTAGTGAAACTTCATCAGTTGAGATACGTGGAACACGTACGACGTATGTCCTACCACCGACTGCCCAGGCGTGCGATGTTTTACGGCGTATGAGTAGGTCGTAAGAAAGCTAAGGGCGGCAAGACAAAAACGTGGCACAAATCCATGAAGTCACTGACAATTAGACTGAGCCATGTTGGTAGGTGTAGACCACCTGTTTGGGATCCGCAAGATAATAGCAACCGTAGTTAGAGACCTTGAATAACATAGCTCAAAATTATTTGCAATTGCGAAGGTGCATCCACTCTTTCTGTTCTCCCAAATTCTAATCTGAATTCTTCATGTCTGTATCCTTTTCCTCTTTCCAAATTTATTTCACTGGATCATACTTCTTGAATAACATCTTCAAACCCTAATCTTTCGGATTACCGCTTATACTCTTACTACTTCTACCACTATGGGATTTGAATCGACAACTGCATTTGTGTTAATGTGGTATGGCAACTTGAACTGATGTACGTACATACGAAGTTCTACGTTGTGACTGACTGACTTATACGTTAAAGGACGATCAATAGGCATTATCAATCAAACTATTGAATAAACTAACAGCAAGGTAGTCAAATGCGGAATAACAAGACACCCGCTTTACTTTCAGGTTATCGGACTCTCGCAGAACGACTGTTGACACTAGGTTTGGGTGATGTTAAGCCCCTACTTGTAAAAGCTAAGACGACACTGACAAATTAGGCGTAGCGGCCTACTGCACACGACATGCCATGCAGGACTACGTTGTCACATTATTATTCGCTGAGGTTGGAAAATTTTGACAGGGCAAGAAGACAAACCACGCTGTTTCAATCATGAAGAGCTCCAAGTGTTTCTAGAAACAAACAAGCTAGTTCAGCCATGCCGCAGTTTATTAAGATATTTTGTTGAAAACTTGTGTTCACTAAAGAAAGTCAGTAAAGATAAATGCTTAACCTATCGGTCAGAAGTCTGGCCGATTGAAAAGATGAGCTCACACAGTCCTCAGTGCGCTTAGCCTCCTGCCAACTTACGTTGCGCTTGGTAGATATTGGTTCGATATTTGTTCAACATCCATACCCCATTTGCACGGTAAGACGGAATTACAGAAACACATCCCAGAGTACCAGGGGCAGTAACGGAATCGGTATTGATAGAAAGAAATAAGTGTCGCAGATAGAACTTGGGAAAGTATAAACTGACTAATAAGGCTTCGTTATGGAACCAAAGAGAAGATGGCATAAACGCATCAAAGGTATTGCGAACTACTTCTGGTTGTCGCCCAGTCTCTAACCATTAGTAACGACGATTACGCGGACTCCAAACAGGTAGTATGAACTCACCCACATAGGTCATCTGAGCAGTCGTGAAGGCAGAACACATGTATCTGATGAACCTAGAGCATATAAACTTTCCGCAAGACCGGCTACAAACATTAACTACGAGATGACAGGACGGCAAATGCGTTTCAGCAACAGTCCAAGCAGGCTATCCACTAACCACATAACGTACAACAAACCTCAAACTTAACAATGCAGCCCAAAGCTGTAAGACCATAGCGACGCATACCACACACAAGAGCAAGGACGCAAATATGAACAAAACATGACATCCTAGTAATAAAACACCGAAACTTGTGTGCTAACAACTTTCGGAGCATTGGTATAACATATCCCCATGAGCCTAATTGCAGATTGCGACAGAATTTTAATCTAATAAGAAGACAATTACACTAACATACACTTCAAATTAGAAAGAAAACATTTAAATAAGTGAAATTAAACATTTATTAAGTTAAATGAATAGAATTAAAATTAACCTCCACGAAGACGCAACACCAAGTGGAGAGTGGACTCTTTCTGGATATTGTAATCGGACAATGTGCGACCGTCTTCTAGCTGCTTACCAGCAAAGATCAGACGTTGTTGATCAGGTGGGATCCCTTCTTTATCTTGGATCTTGGCCTTCACATTCTCAATGGTGTCACTCGGCTCAACTTCCAAAGTGATCGTTTTACCAGTCAATGTCTTCACAAAAATCTGCATACCACCACGAAGACGCAACACCAAGTGGAGAGTGGACTCTTTCTGGATATTGTAATCAGACAATGTGCGACCGTCTTCTAGCTGCTTACCAGCAAAGATCAGACGTTGTTGATCAGGTGGGATCCCTTCTTTATCTTGGATCTTGGCCTTCACATTCTCAATGGTGTCACTCGGCTCAACTTCCAAAGTGATCGTTTTACCAGTCAATGTCTTCACAAAAATCTGCATACCACCACGAAGACGCAACACCAAGTGGAGAGTGGACTCTTTCTGGATATTGTAATCGGACAATGTGCGACCGTCTTCTAGCTGCTTACCAGCAAAGATCAGACGTTGTTGATCAGGTGGGATCCCTTCTTTATCTTGGATCTTGGCCTTCACATTCTCAATGGTGTCACTCGGCTCAACTTCCAAAGTGATCGTTTTACCAGTCAATGTCTTCACAAAAATCTGCATACCACCACGAAGACGCAACACCAAGTGGAGAGTGGACTCTTTCTGGATATTGTAATCAGACAATGTGCGACCGTCTTCTAGCTGCTTACCAGCAAAGATCAGACGTTGTTGATCAGGTGGGATCCCTTCTTTATCTTGGATCTTGGCCTTCACATTCTCAATGGTGTCACTCGGCTCAACTTCCAAAGTGATCGTTTTACCAGTCAATGTCTTCACAAAAATCTGCATACCACCACGAAGACGCAACACCAAGTGGAGAGTGGACTCTTTCTGGATATTGTAATCAGACAATGTGCGACCGTCTTCTAGCTGCTTACCAGCAAAGATCAGACGTTGTTGATCAGGTGGGATCCCTTCTTTATCTTGGATCTTGGCCTTCACATTCTCAATGGTGTCACTCGGCTCAACTTCCAAAGTGATCGTTTTACCAGTCAATGTCTTCACAAAAATCTGCATACCACCACGAAGACGCAACACCAAGTGGAGAGTGGACTCTTTCTGGATATTGTAATCAGACAATGTGCGACCGTCTTCTAGCTGCTTACCAGCAAAGATCAGACGTTGTTGATCAGGTGGGATCCCTTCTTTATCTTGGATCTTGGCCTTCACATTCTCAATGGTGTCACTCGGCTCAACTTCCAAAGTGATCGTTTTACCAGTCAATGTCTTCACAAAAATCTGCATACCACCACGAAGACGCAACACCAAGTGGAGAGTGGACTCTTTCTGGATATTGTAATCGGACAATGTGCGACCGTCTTCTAGCTGCTTACCAGCAAAGATCAGACGTTGTTGATCAGGTGGGATCCCTTCTTTATCTTGGATCTTGGCCTTCACATTCTCAATGGTGTCACTCGGCTCAACTTCCAAAGTGATCGTTTTACCAGTCAATGTCTTCACAAAAATCTGCATACCACCACGAAGACGCAACACCAAGTGGAGAGTGGACTCTTTCTGGATATTGTAATCAGACAATGTGCGACCGTCTTCTAGCTGCTTACCAGCAAAAATCAGACGTTGTTGATCAGGTGGGATCCCTTCTTTATCTTGGATCTTGGCCTTCACATTCTCAATGGTGTCACTCGGCTCAACTTCCAAAGTGATCGTTTTACCAGTCAATGTCTTCACAAAAATCTGCATACCACCACGAAGACGCAACACCAAGTGGAGAGTGGACTCTTTCTGGATATTGTAATCGGACAATGTGCGACCGTCTTCTAGCTGCTTACCAGCAAAGATCAGACGTTGTTGATCAGGTGGGATCCCTTCTTTATCTTGGATCTTGGCCTTCACATTCTCAATGGTGTCACTCGGCTCAACTTCCAAAGTGATCGTTTTACCAGTCAATGTCTTCACAAAAATCTGCATACCACCACGAAGACGCAACACCAAGTGGAGAGTGGACTCTTTCTGGATATTGTAATCAGACAATGTGCGACCGTCTTCTAGCTGCTTACCAGCAAAGATCAGACGTTGTTGATCAGGTGGGATCCCTTCTTTATCTTGGATCTTGGCCTTCACATTCTCAATGGTGTCACTCGGCTCAACTTCCAAAGTGATTGTCTTACCAGTTAATGTTTTCACAAATATCTGCATCTCAAAGTCTATTGTATACGCCAACGAACAAGTATGGCAGCCTTTCGATTTTGCTGGCTATATATAGTCTTTACTACGTTTTTGTAGCGCTACCTTCAATTCAGGGCAGTAAAACAACGTATTCATGCAGGTGATTTTTACTTACTCAAATCACATTCTAGTCACATTTACATTCTGAAAATAACTTGGTACAGTCCGAACCTCCTTATTCATTATGAAACGTTTTTGTTAGTCAGCATCTTCTCATCCAAGTACCACATTGCCGAGTTTCAAGATGACAAAAGTTTAGGTAATTATGTAAAATAAAGTTTGCCATTTTATCTATATGGGTTTTAGTTCACGTGAAGTCATCAATTTTTAGGGCACTTAACTGTTGGAGATATGCTTCGTTAGATCGGAACTTAAACATCTCCAAGTGCATCATATGAATGATTCTTCACATCTAAATCAACAGAAAACAATAGTGAAGACCTTGAAAATGTCTTACTAGTTTACCTCTGACTTAAGTGAGTAAGAGACGTTCAGATACTTCTGCAGACGCTAAATCGGAAGACCCACACAACCGTCCACGAAGGTTATAAGAATTCCTACTTACAAAGTTGTACGACCATTGGATTAGCCGTGACTCCTGGATTTCGACTGCTTGTCCTACATCACTTCTTACTTTCTTATCACTTTAATTTGTCAGAAACTGACTAGCATTCATCAGAAATGTTGACAAGATCTACGGTTCTGAAATTGGGCGTGAAAATCTGGTTATGGATGAAATAATCTCTATTCTTAGACTATAAAACTTCATACCATAGCCTGAAGATATTTGAATATTTTGTAGGTTAATTTTTCAGAACACATATAGTGGAGAAGATGAGTTCATTAATAGGGACAATTCAAGTCCGGAGAAGTAAAGTTATTTTTCAATGTGGGATCAGCATCCAGTCACAGGTCTGCTAATATTATATCTTTACTGGCAAAAACTTTTTCGCCAACAACCTCTCACTATGGTTTCTTTGCGGAAGAATGACTGAGAATAATGTTTTTCTAGCTCCTTCATCGAACACATGAGGATAAAATCGCACACTGTTTAATGTAGTTTCTCGAAATTAGACTCTTAAAAAGATTTTGAAGGAACTTTCACCTTTAAAAATGAGAAATTCCTAGACTGAATCCCAAAGAGAATATTGCATTCATCGCTCAACTAAGCTGGTCGATATGTGTCTCGAACGTAAAAAGTTTATTTTATGTTATATTTCCACTTTCACAGAGACACAAGATGGCGTTTTCAAGTCATCAAGCCCCGATGCTTCGAGTGTGAAAAATAGTGATGGGACCAACTAATACTTTCCAAACCCCAGATCATTCCCTAGCATTCACACTAGTGATAACATCAACACCGGTTTCCCATGAATCTCTGATGTTAGCTCATGTACGAGGCTACTTACTTACTTACATACGCATGTTACCCCTCGTCAAGGAGCATAGGCCGCTCACCAGCATTCTCCATCCAACTCTGTCCTGAGCCTTCCTTTCCAGTTCTTTCCAGTTGCTTTTCATCCTTTTCTTATCGGCTTCTATTTCACGGTGTAGTGTGTTCTTTGGCCTTCCTCTTTTCCGCTTCCCTTCCGGATTCCAAGTTAGGGATTGAGTCGTGATGCACATTGGTGATTTCCTCAATGTATGTCCGATCCACTTCCAACGTCTTTTCCTAATTTCCTCTTCAGCTGGAAGCTGGTTTGTCCTCTCCCATAAAACGCTGTTGCTGATAGTATCCGGCCAGTGGATGTTGAGTATTTTGCGTAGACAACTGTTTATAAATACTTGTACCTTCCTGATGATGGCCGTAGTAGTTCTCCACGTTTCAGCTCCATACAGTAGGACTGTCTTGACGTTCGTATTCAAGTTTCTGACCTTCAGATTGGTTGACAGTTGTTTTGAGTTCCACATGTTCTTCAATTGTAAAAATGCTGCCCTTGCTTTGCCAATTCTCGCCTTTACATCTGCATCCGATCCTCCTTGTTTATCAACGATGCTCCTCAGGTACTTGAATTTTTCCACCTCTTCCAGAATTTTGCCTTCAAGTGTGATTAGGTTGGTGTTCTCCGTGTTGCATTTGATAATCTTGCTTTTTCCTTTGTGAATGTGTAGGCTTATCGATGCGGAGGCTGCTGCTACATTTGCGGTCCTCATCTGCATTTGTTCGTGTGTATGAGAGAGAAAAGCTAGGTCATCTGCGAAGTCCAAATCATCTAATTGATTCTGAGCTGTCCATTGTATTCCGTATTTCCCGTCAGATGTCAAATTCTTCATAATTCAGTCAATCACTAGAAGGAAGAGGAATGTTGAGAGTAGACAGCCTTGTCTGAATCCGGTCCTTACTGGAAATGCATGTACGAGGCTAATACACCAGAAAATACGCTGTCCACAAAACACATTTCTTGGTCCATATATTATGTGCCTCGATTCTGAGAGAAGGAACAGTCAGAAGTTTCCTTACAGTGACCCTGTTAACTACCTTAGTGACTTAGAAGCACTCACCTCCACTATTCCGGCAGCAATAATTCTCTTTTGGCTGGACGTATTCGTGGGCTTGATAAACGCTAAGAGAAGGGATGACGAACATTACAGGCTTCAATTTTCTTGGGTTAGTGACTTTCTCGAGCTCGAGTAGAGAAAACAGGTCGTGTGTGGTTAGTGAATCCATCCAGCAAAACATTTCCGAAAAACACTTACCAGATAAGTCATTTAACTTCTTCCTTGTTAGTTTGGCAGTCTTACAATTACTTGTGCCGAAAGCTGGGACTTTTTATGAGCCACAAAAACGTAGACCTTCACAAGAAGAAGTTCTAATGTCATTTTGGGTTGAAATTTCATGTCTTTTGGTTCATCGAGGCATTCTTCTAAAAAATATCAGAAAGAACTGCAATATGTCATCGTGCTTCATACCCACATATCATAGTTACACAGTTTGTAAAACCCCAGCTCCATGAAACATTGCTGGTTCTCTTCATTGCAGGGCAATATTCAGGGAGAAAAGATTAGCCAGATGGGAAAACTGAATCCCAAAGTATGTAAAGACCGCCCTATCACCTCCACCATTTTAAATTTTTTCACTGCTCCTGGATTAGATAGTCTTCGTTCGCCGTCGTTCATGGCTTCGCAGTAACAACTTTTCCATAGATTCTGTTGATTCTCAGTCTTTTCCGCTTTGCATCATTCTTGGTATTTCCCTTGGAATTCTGAGAGACGTCCAGGGACGTTCTGTTTTGTTTTGGTAGGTCCTCTTTGCGTCTTCTACGTAACTGGTTCCTGTGACGTATGCATCTATTTTCCCCTATGGCCTATTATTTTCTCTTTGGTACGAGCTTATTTTCCAGGTCTTTAGTCACGGAGATACACAAATGTTTCGGTCGCATGTAAATGTCTTGTTTTTGTTCTGTCTTCTTGGTTGATTTCATTGCATCACTTATTGTCTGTTGCTTTCGTCCCATGAGAGCTTCCGTCGGTGAGTTTTGTTGTGGCGTTCTATTGTTAGGTATACTCCTGCATATGAGTAGGAATCAATGAATGATTTCTTTTACGGCTACTGTTTTTGCTTTCAAGTCAGCTCTTTTTCAGCATTACTGTTACGGGAGGACTGAGGACATTTGGCTGATTAAAACCTTTTTTATTGTACATCAATTTTACTGTGTTTTTGGATGTGTTTGTTTTACTTAACCTTTGGACTTGTTTGTTTATATCATTCTTTTCGGACATTTGGGTTTCCTTTGTCATTGGTTTGGTATTTGGGAGTTTTTGCTCCGGGAACCTACAAAATTGAAGGTTTGTTTTGTAATTGTTATAATTATTGTTGTTAGAACGACTTTGGTGGATTATTTGTGAATGGCGAATAAACTTGGTATCAAATTTGGGGTTTTGGTTCTCTTGCCTACTTGGTTTCGTGATTTGCGAATATCGACGGCAAGTACTTCAATAGTTGGAACGGGCAAAAACAAATAATTGGACGTAACAATCACACTGTTGTGAATACCAGGTAGTGTTTTCATCAGTATTGTTGGACCGAATAAGAGTTTCAGTATATACCGAGCATCGAAATCATCGTAAGGATTTCGTAAGGACCGATCTTATTTCCACCAGCTCGTAGTATTATGGATCACTGATGGACAAATATTTGAATTGAGCCCATCTGTAGAATTGGGTTACCATAATTATGAGAAAGCACTGAAAGCGTGGATCGGCGAACGTTATGCAATGTTTTTCGATCATTTGGAGCATTTTAATGAACTATTATTGTCACTTAGGCCTTTGTTCCTACACACACGGCATATGTAGACAAAGGCTACCAGTGTACTAGCGGCTTCAGCAGAAACGTACACCAACATTCACAGCGATAAAAGAACAGTTATAATATACGGCACAGCAGGCAGCAAATAAATCGCACTTGATGATGTAGCTCCAACGCAAGCGGAAGCCTTCATGTTCTTGGGTAGAATCGTTAATAAACTAGGTCGATTCCATGAAAATATCAACCCACGAATCTATAAAGAAAGGACCACATTCTTATGATTGGCCACTCAAAACAGCTGTTGTTCGAGAAAATAGTCAGATTCATTAATGTTAGGGTAGTTTTATCGTATGGAGCGGGGATTCGAGGGACTACCAAAACCATTATCTGAAGGCAGAAGTGCTCATAAACAGCTGTTTATGCAAAACGCTTCAAGCCCATTGGCCAAAGACCATCATTAACACTCTTCCTGCAGAAGACAGTCTAGTTTCCATATAAGGACAAAATTTAAAAAGATGCTAGAAGTGGATCAGTAAAAATTTTCTTAACTAACTTTGTTTCCTCTTTCCTTCCATTTTTCTAGTTTACTTTTTGATGTTTTATATGCAAATATTCCTAACAAGTATATTTTCACATTTTTCGAAGTACACTGCCTAATAATCCAGCATAGTTTTAATAATCTTTCCACTCTTATTAAACTATCACATACTTCTCTTTCATACCACTAACAACCTTAAAAACGGTCCGGACTATTCGTTAACATGACAGACTCGCATGTTTTATTCTTGTTGAGACGGAAGTACTGCGTGACAACTACAATAAATGGTACTACAGTGTCGTTAATAGACTCAACCTTATTGTATATAAGGGATTTCACGAGCCATGACCTCTACGGCTGTGAAATGAACGCTGTTCTAGAACGTCTCTCTGGATACTGGCGCTTTTAGAGCTTCTGAATTCATCTGATGAACTTCCCACTGATGGGTTTTAAGTTATAGAAAAAATGAAACGGTTGGTGAATCTTAAGTATTCACAGACAGTTGACGAGGTCAAAATTCATGTCAGTAACGACCGAATCGCCAATATTCAGTTTGGACACTGAACTAATGAACTAAAATTTATTGGACTAAACCAGACTACGTTCATCTGCATAGCGTTTTTGAGTTACTCGTATTAAATGATATCAAAACACAAACTCTATGTTCAAATTTGACGGTTCTAATTTAAGAAAATAAATTTTATCAAAAATACAAAATACCTCGAACTGTACAGGTTGTGCTATACAGTCAAGGGTTTCTCTAACACAAATCAGCCTGACAAACAACAAAGGAAAGAGATAATACACAGGAGTTCAATACCTGAAAATCAATAAAAATATTCTCAGCAAGATGGAATCAGGTATCTATTTTCAGAGATTAGAGTAATCTTTCCAAGCACACAGTAAGAGGTTAATAGTGACATACAGAACCACGCTGTAGCATTGAGTTGAATCAATAACGACCTTATTGTCAATGGCCCGGCAACATGCAATAGAAAAATTAAGTAACGAAAGGTAAGTTTTTAATGAAAGTCACATAATAAAAGCTCAGATGGAGAAGATTGAAGAACACAAAATGTTATTAAGAAAGATTTGAATAAAGGTAAAAATATATGACAGGAAGAAGAAACAAATAAGTGACAGTACTGTGCATCGAAATTCTGAGAAGGAATTTTCAGCGTTTTCTTCCTGCTACAATGTCTAAATAACACTGAGGTCGACTTCAGAATAGCGACTCCCAGAGGACTAGGGAATAATATCGAAAACCCGAGGTATGGAAACGGTCACAGAGGCACCGAAAACCAACAGTTTCCATACATAGTGTAGAAGCTAGTCATCTTCAATCTATAATACCATATATTAAGAGGAGACTTGATTACGACGTATAGGATATGGGGAAATACGTTTCTTCTTGACTCACATTCTGCTTTTTCCCTCTATTCAATTAAGAACAGCTCAGTGGAAACACCCAGCGATCTCAAAAGCAAGTGATGGAAAAATTTCATGAGATACAAACTTTCTCACCGAGTAATCAACTGTTGTAGTGGACAGTTGCATGTTGTCTCCAGTTCAACTGTCTCATTGAGGATAAGATTAGATAGCCGTAGAATGTTGCTAGATAAGGAATGATAAGAGGCCTTGACTGTCTTTCCTAAAGAAATATCATGTGCAGCATAAATGGATTATGAGGAGTATAATCTTGGCGTTTTATCTTTCACTTCATTTTGGTACTAGACTATATCAAAGAGGATATGCATTTTGTAGAAACCATAAAATGACTGGTAAAAATTTGTACAAACGCTTTCATTGTCATAGTCGTCAAACAGTAAGATTCCATGTCAGATATCATAGTAACGGCATGTTTTCAATCTTTTAAAAGAAGGCTGGATATTTACTTCGGCGCGGTTGCTACTGTGGGTGATCACGCAGTGCGACTTACAGTTATGATCACTAACTATGGCCTAATTAACTTACCTTCAGATTCATAAGAGACATAAGAAGTTTGTAAGAGTACCCTCTCCTTGAAAGACATAAATCTACTAGACATCGTACAAAGACGTTGTGCTAAATGAGAGGTGAGACTAAGGAATAAGCCACATAGATAAAAACTCAGAAACTTGGCCAAGCTGTAGGATACCGAGAAAAGATCTCTTGATCTCAATCAAAATATTAAGTACTTCAAGTCTCTTCAATATGAACTTCCTACCAGAATACCACCGCCACACTCTTGTAAAACTGCGAGATCTCGGATATCCCGCCACTTTTCGCCATTAATAGTAGCCCTAAGTTGGAACACTTTTCCAGGTGAAGTGACCACATTTCACCAAGTGGACAGCGGCATTCACTCAGTGATTCAGCTCTTCATGGACCACCTTCACCTTACGAACGTCTCGCTACTTGTGCGCTATTATCACTATCATATATCATTAGCATGTTCCCATACCACTTATTATCATTTGTAATTTTCTTTTATTCATACACAGGACTTGCCACATTGTCTATATTGTCAGTCATTTAGCTTTCTTACTTAGTGAGACGGTCATCTTTTACCTTTTTGGTTTTCTCATCATTATCCTCAATGTTGAAACCAAGCAATCTCTTTTCTAGCAACGCCATAGCTACACGTAGCCAGAAACCCCACTGACTTGAGAATAACTCACTCAAATTAAAAAAAATATACAAACTAACAAATAACCACCAAAGTGATTAGAGCTTAAGTAGTCGAGTGGCTAGGTTACTGCCTATCAAACATTATAAAAGACGTAGAATCACACTAAGACGACAGGAAGAGATAAGCAAGAGATCAACTGGTTCGTACATGATTGACAAATAGATATTAGTTACCTGAAGTTATTGCATATTGAATGTTGGAGATAACTTCAGTTTCAAGGTTGGCTTGTTTGCTTATCAGATAGTAACCGTGACATTACCTGTTACACTGTCCCATGAAACTGGAATATCAAAATCAGTATTTTTACCGGGTTTTAAAATCTGAAGGCAAATAAATTAGTTCACTGACGTTTAAATTGTGTCCATTGTTAAGGAGAAAGCACATCAATTTTAGTTTTGACCTTTGTTATTGGGAAATAACTTGAGACTACTTGTCTTCTTAAGCATGTCGAGAATGTGTACAAGTGCACTATGTAATGTGCGCCTATTTTTATGAAACCATTGAAGGGTTTGTGAAAGTTCTGTAATTATCAGACTAATATCGACCACATTACTGTTCTGTTATTTAGACTTACGGATCGGTGCTATCGGAAAATTTTTCGGGATCTCTTATGAAGACGCATTGTCTTCGAATGAAGAAGCCAGATTTTGGGTGTATCATCAACTAATTATCACTGTATTTTCCCTACGCATTCTTTTGACTGGATGTGGTTATAATTAGTATTAAAAGCCTTAAATCCTAACAATTAAAGGACGGTTGCTTTATTAGAGGAAAACGGATGCTTAGATCTGTCGTACAGTCAGATCTATGGGTTAGTATTAGGCTAATGGTTTGAGAATCTTAACTGTAACCTTAACGTGTTCTTTACAGCATGTTCAGTCTTCAGTAATAAGGATAGTAGGTTGATGAACCTGTGTTAATCAGTATAATTTGTTGACGGGGTCGTAATAAATTATGCTATATTTAAATGTACCACTTTAAAAGTTGGACATGGAAATGTAGTTCTTACTCGCGGATAGATCACTGATAGACGCAGTACAATGCTTCTAGGTCATGTAATCTTATAAAAATATAGGTATCCGTATACTAATCCCGTACTTATAGTTACTAGCACCACACTTTCATGACCTAAGTGTTCATTCTCTGTAAAACTCTATTATTTTCACTACATGGGCCCTAATTAAGGTATCGTTTTTCTCATTGTTTTCAAGACCGAGTTGCTCCAAGTGAATCTGGTTCTTTCGGTTTTCAGGCATTTAGTAACGATTGATGTATGCTGTGTCTCCGAAACACACATACAGAATCCTAGTGTGGTCATTTACTTGACCTCACCCCGCCAAAATGGACGGCCGTCGAGATACAGCCCCCGTATGTCTGGTGACCCGATGGCTAGTTCTCATGGACTAGCAGATGTAGGCATAGCACTTAGTACGAGGACGGAACAAACACTATTAAAGTGGGTCCCCGTTAACAGTCGCCTATGTGCTGTCCGGCTAAATGGCTCCGTAAGAACTCGGAAGGATAGGGACACACGTCGTTCCTTTTCGTCGTTTCCGCCTACGCTCCCACTGACTGCAGCCCAAATGAAGTGAAGGATGACTTTTACAGAAAGCTCTGAACTTTTTCAAAAAGCTAAGCGCTCAGACGTAGTACTCGCAGCGGATGACTTTAATGCCCAGAACACAAATAACAGCCTCGTCAATATGAATCGTTATTTACAAACATACTGAGTTTTTATACAAACCAAAGTAATCAATAAACTGATTATAACTCAAGAATCGTATGATAATAAATCAAAGATCAAAATAAAGCTAATGATAGGAGAAACACGAATATGAATAGTTTAGTTACGTAACAATTGTACAATAGGAAATAGGCATAATACATTGGTCGATAAATAGTCCTTAGAGTTGCCATTCATAATTCACCAGGGGATATAACACAATGGATTTCTTCCAAGTCTATTACACTGATGGATTCTCATAAACTCATCCCATCAGTCTCTGAACACGATGAAGAGCGTAAACAAATCAAATCTAGGTTAACTGAAAGTCTGTGGAGCGGCCATGAGCAGAGATGGGCAACGAAAGCAAAAGAGATGGAAAAGGCAGCGGCTGTAGGCAACGCCAGACAGCCTTTCAGACTAACAAAAGAAACTGGAATTAAGAAGTCAATTGTAAGCCAGACAATCTCGGAAAAAGACGAAACTCTTATCTGCTTTCAGTTGAGATGTTTAGAACGATGGGTGGAACACTTTAAGGAACAGCTCAGCTGGCCTTCAGCTACTCTACAGCTACCGACCACTTCCAAACAGCCTTAATGGAATATTGAGATAGGCTTCTTCGACTCTAATTGAAGTTCAAAAAGCTATAACTAATCTGAAACGAGGAAGAGTAGGTGGATTGGCACCAGAGGTCTTTAAATATGTTGGTCCAGTTTTAACGATTAGGCTGACTAATATTTTCTCTAAAATCTGGGAGTTGGACGTAATCCCATCCTACTGGTCACAATCTCTGATTGCCCCGATATATAAGAAGGGGTAAAAGTCATCCTGTGATAAGCATAAAGAGATTAAAGATCCCCATCATATTAAAAGACTAATGTTTAAACGAATAATATTTCTTTCGATAAATTCTCTTCAGGTTCTACAATTATATATCAAAATTAAGTATACTTTGTTCGAAAATATTAAAACATTTACTGTTCCCGTTAAGCAATGTTGTCTCTTCACACTAGTCACTTCTGGTCATGTTCTTAGCTTGATAATATGTATTTTATCCATCTGTATATACACATTATTCTTACTTTATAGCTCTACTAGTGTATTGTATTCTAGCTTATCCGATCTACGTGCATTAATAATCCTTTATTGGCAACCAAAAACAGTATATTTATTCAATGGCTGTACGGTGAGAATGAATGACTTTCTGAAAGAGCATATTAAATCTGTATCTGGGACAGTTTTGGAGCTCATTCAAGAAGGAGTATTTTCGAATGTAACCGTTGTCATCAGTGGTTATGAATTCAAGTCTAACAGTCTACTCTTGGCTAGCTCGAGTGACTATTTTAGGGCATTGTTCAGTTTTCAACAAAATTCAGTTGAAGAACCTCGTTTGGAAATCAAATGTGATTACGTTTCACATGTTGGTCTCAGCCATGTTATGTTGTTTATCAATTCGATTGGCCAAGTTCATGACTATATTCCTACTGAAGATTATCAGGATGTCTATGTCGCGTCAAGCTTCCTACAAGTACACTGTCTTCAAAAAATGATGAGTCTTCGTTTGGAAGGAACTCTCTGTACAGATAATGTTCTTAGTAAATCATACCATTGTTTCATGCTAACAGTTTTTCAGCAATTTTTAAAATCTAATTTTAATTTTCGGTAATTTTATACTTGGCGACTAACTAGTTACCAAATTTTATACATTTGATTAGAAAGTTTTATTAGAGTGACCATATTCCGAGAATTATATGCTCTGTATGATTAATTGTTATTGTGTTTTTGAAATACACTAGCATATTATCGGGGTGAATTACATCACTGTTTGTGTTGATGATGTACATATTCGTCAATACACAAATCAAAGTAAGGGATTAGGGTGCTAACCATTTATTAGCTTGCCAATTAATTCTTAATGTAAGCACTCATAGATGGTGTACTTATTATATACACTGGAAACGCTTTTTGACATATCAGAGGGAAAACAGCCACAGATGGTATATTGAAAAAAGCTTTGATATCGCAGCGTATACTGGTGCTTGAATCAATGACAAAATAAACTAAAGCAGGATTACTATTGACTTTATTTCTGTTCTAACGATGCACCTGTTTAGTGAGTAATATAATCTTTAATAATTCATGACGGAATTTGGGGTTAATCATAAAATCACTGGCAGATACAACTTTCGTTCATCCTATTATCACCATTTACCCTCTCGATTTCAGCGCCAGCAGACAGTGTTGTGCGTAAAGCCTAGTATTGTGGTACAGAAGACATGGATACCAGTCAGTCAGTCATGCACAATCTAGGACGTCAGTTCAAGTTGTCACATCTCATTAGGACATCGAGAAGAAATTGTTGAAACAGATCCCAGAGTAGATGTGTTAACAGAATAAGTGGTAATAGAAACGACTAGGAAAGGAAAATATAATTGAAAAAGAAAATATCAGTTCATGGAATCAAGAAGTGTATGAGGAAACTTAAGAAACTAGGGTTGTGTATTTTGGGACCATGGAGTAAGCGATGCCTGAACTGGGAATAGAGTACTAGGTAAAAATGGGAAATAGATTAAAGAAGTAGTAAATATCCATCAACTGAGATAGTTGGGACATGTATTACGTATGTCTAACCACTGCCTACCTTGACAGGCGATGTTTTCTGGTGCAGGAGGAGACTGGAAAATGCTAGGGGTGGCCAAACCAAATATGGTATCAGTCTATGCAGTCACTAACTATAAGACTTAGCCAATGTTGATAGGTACAGACTACCTAGTTGGGGGCCGCGCAATTATCGTAACCAATGGTTAGAGAATATGAATGACATCGTTCAAAATCGTTTGCAATGGCACAGGTGCATCCATTATTTGTCTTCCCCTCAAATTCTGAGATTCAGAATTTCTCATAACTTTTTTGGCTTTTGAATCTCTAATTTGTATTTTTTCGAGTTGTATCCTTGATGCCTAATCTTTCTTATTACCACTGATGCTGTTACTACATCTACCGTTGTGGGATTTTGCCTGACATCTTCGTCTTGGTGTGCTGATGTGTTATGGCAACTTGAACCGATGTACATTCGTCCAGGTTCCATGTTATAACTGACTGGATCTAAGGTAAATCAAAGAGTGAATGGACCCGGGCGATTGCGAACGATTTTCAGCCATGTCACACCAAGTCTCCAACAATTGATTACAATAATTACGTGGACCTATCTACATGGTTCAGCCCAACAGTTGAATTCTTCGTTGATTAATGCTGTCGATGGATGGGTATTTCGGATGTCTCTCAATTTGATATTGTATGTGAGGTAGTCATTATGTTTCGGACCTCAGCGGTATGCCTTCACCCGCAGGACCACAAAAAGATGGTTGTTCAGATGTCAGAAGGATGAATCATACTTGTTTATCTTGCTGGTTAGTGAACTGCTTTAACTGGCCAACCTAAATTACCGTTGAAATCTTGTATAAAATATGCAGGCATTGCTTTCCCATTATATCCAAACTTTTATTTTATTGGCTAATTTTTAGAGATTATGAATTTGGCACACTTGTTCGATGATGAGTCGTTATTTAAAAAGGCCATATTATTCCTCTGGCACGAATTTCAACTAATCGATTATTTCTCAAGTGATTTTGTTAATTTAACTACCAAACAGATCACAAAAATATTTCAAAGTGATCAAATCAATATATCTCAGGAACGTGTTGTGTTGGAAGCAATACTTGTATGGCTTTGTCATGATGTTACACGTCGGATGGAGTTTTTCAAAAATAACTTTCTCCATCTTGTAAGATTACCTTTGGTGAGTTATTCATTCCCTTTGATTAAGATTTTTGGTTTATACTGTGTGCTCACTGAACAGTAGCTAATGTTTTGTTTTTTTAATTCATGGGACCGTTCAAATTCTGCTGATCAATGTCAGCGTAGCAGTAAAAACAGTCATAGCAAAATATTGTGAATGCATCTAATTTGTGGATTCAGTTTAACTGCTTATGGCCGGGAAACGATAATAACAATGATAATAGCAATAATAGTAATAATAATAATAATAATAATTATTATTATTAGGAAGCAGAACAAGTGTACACACTTTATACAGAAAACGTTTGATTAAAGTTAAGATTGACATAGATGTAGATTAATAAAAAGCCAATGATTGTGAGAGCAGTAAAATACTCGTTCATACACTTGATTATTTGTGTATTGTTTACGTAAATGTTGTAGAATAGAAAACTGCCGAGTGCATAAAGGTATCCGGAAATGAAAGACTTTTTTCATAATGGGTATGGTATTAGGGTTTAAAAATCTTTACACATAATTAGTAACTAAATGACTTTGCTGAAGCTATCTTTACAAAAAGATTCAGACTAAATCTATACATCCAAAAGAACGATTATTATCATTGTCGTTTCTTGATCGTAATCTGCTAAAGAGAATTCGCGAAGTAAATACATATTATTTTGCTAAGATCATTGTCTTCAATACTACTAAAACATGTAAAAAGGAAGAACTGTATGAAGTTATTTATGAAACGTCTTTTCACCAAGTTTTCAATGTGGTCACTATACCCTTTTGCTCACTGTTGTGAGTTTCATTTATCAAATGTCATGTAAACGCTTTGCCAATGAATTCCAACTGAAGGAAAGCTTAGTTTGAGGGTAACAACAATGTCTTTGACTACGGTGTTATTTAACCCAGGTTCAATTCCTCGGACGGCATTATTTCCCCTAAGATTACAGAGTGCCAGCCAGTCCAACACCTGTTTATTGATTCCAACCATTTGATACTACAGCGTAAAACTTACTAATCACTTTTTGAATTAGTAGACTTTTTGTACTTACATAACCAAACTGTATATTTTTATTCATAATTCGTCTTTTCATCGATTGAACAAGATAGTCATTCAATGATATGGAACCATTTAATTCCCTGTTTAGTCATGTAAATTTGATAATAGTTTTTATTTAATCAATGAACATCAAATCTTTAGTGATTATAATAACGTCACGATAGCGACATAGGTGGTAGTAGTCTAGTTTAGCATATAAACCACCTTGGTTTTCACTATTCAAAAATTATTTAGGCATGTGGTTGTGTGAAACTATTGAAAACCTGTACTAGTTTTTATCTCGTTCAATTTTATCAATCATTTAGGTTTCCTTTATACTATTGTAATAAATTTTTAAAATGCTCATATATGCACTACTGAACACGTGAATAAATGTTTTGATTGTCATGGGTACGGTTACCTCACGAAGTGTAAGTTTATCCCAAATTAAATAAATGTTTCTAAAAATTTTGTTGTTTTTAATAAGTTGTGTAATAAGCAGCTATAAATGTACAAAATCTCATTTTATAAATATCTATGAATTCGTTTTTTTTGTTCCCCTCCAAAGATAACGAGAAATGAATTGATGGAAATAATCAGTAATCCAAAATACTCTGCAGCTAATGATGCTTTACAGTTATTATTTTTGGCACATAATTCTTTAAATCAACCATCATATCTTAATGAATTAGAAAAAATTTCAATATCAGATATTTGGGGTAGTCAATATTTAATGAATTTACTTATAGATCCTAAACAATGTAAACCAAGGGTTGGAACTATATATCGTGTCTATGGACTTGGAGGAGAAAGTGGTTTCAATAACGTAGGTTTTGACTTAGACATAGATATATATATATATATATATATATATATATATAATTTTGTTGAATTGTTACATAATCACGGTAGCACTTTCATTTTAGTTATTTGTTAAGGTTTTTTTTATTCGAATTTATACACACCTCTGAGAAATCTTCAATCACAACCGATATTTGAAATGTTGGAGTTTAATTTATTGGGATACTGAACTACAATGTAACTCAATTTACTGTTCAATATTTAATAGGTGTTTGATGGGCCTGTGGTTTACCCATGTAAATGCATATATATATATTTTTATTTTAGAACGCTTCGGCTTCTTATGGGTTGCAGTCAAATGAATTTATGATGTATAATGAAGATTTAAGTGTCGCTACTAAATATACACCTCCGTATGCTGCTTCAAGAGTTCATCATGGTGTAGCTGCTTCTCTTAATTGGATGTATGTAGTAGGTGGCGAATCTGAAGAGGGTGAATTGTTAAACCAGTAAGAAATTGAAAATATTTCGTTAATCACACCACATACATACATACATACTTACGTACTTTAAATACCTACATGCTTTATTAAATATATGTGGTTGTTAATTGATTATAAAAATAAGTAGAGGTTGAAATCATATTGAACATCTAATAAAATTTTATTTAGGAATTTAGTTAGCTAAATTAATTCAAGTATTCATTTTGTTTTTATACCAGGATATTCAATTACACTAGATATTCAGGTGGGCTTTTTAAATACCTCTAGATGTCATACGGTAAATACATCCGTATAATATATAACTCATCTAATTGGGTTATCTCTTTTTTAATAGTTAAGATCACGAGTCAATTGAAGCTAGACCACTATGGAAAAACTGGAAACACTGTACGGCCGTTTCGTCTTATTGTGAGACTCTTCGGCAGTGCGCATCCACGATCCCTCCTTGCGAGGTTCGAACCCAGGACCTATCGGTCTCGTGCGCGAACGCTTAACCTCTAGACCACCGAGCCGGCGTCCAACGGTGTTAATGTCTAACTTCAACTAATCCACAAAATTGAGCGACACATCCACGATTGTCTTCAGTGAGTTACTATCTCACAACAGACCCGGTTGAACTCCACTGGTCATTGCTTCTCACTATAACTCCAGGAAATACCTCTTGTGATTAAATTGTGAAAACATCGTCTTTGACTTATATACCATTGACTCTCAGTATTCCTCTACCTATCATAAATAATTAGCCATACTAATTAAAGTCGTCAGCTGTACTCTCAATAATAAGCAATTGGATCTCAGTTATTAGGTAGGTTAAGTAAGGCAAAAAGTATCAGAGGAACGTTTCACCATTCTTGTGCTGACAGACCAACTGTAGTTATCGCCTGTAACTCCTCTCAAATATCTGTTACATACTGGCTAGGGTGAATTTTAGCCAACATTATGAGGAGTAATCCAAGCGTATTTAAATCAATACTTTTCACAGTTCGTTGAATATAATTGTGCTCCAAGGTTCATTGTTGCAGGAGAGAAATATTGAATTCCTCAACATATTTAAAATTTTATGCAAAAACTCAAATAGAGTGAGGGAATGCAATCACCTGCTTTCATTCTCCTGAAGAATTAAAGGATATACAGAATTGGTAATTTCCATTATCCTTAATCTTCGGCATATTTGGTATTTTGGAAACAACCTCAAAGTGTGATGGTAATACATATCTATTACGTAATGATAATAAAGTAACCTAGACAAAACGTGTTATTTAGGTTACGATTAAATTGCTAGGTGAATATGTGTTACTGGATTCTTTGAAATAAACGTTTCATCCATGTACCCATGCTCTGACATATCACAGATTAAAATAACCCACTTTTTCCCGTCAACAATTTTAATAAATTAGGATACTACGGACTGCAGGTTTGTGCTTAAATAGATTTATTACTTAAATTACTGTTAGTAGGTAAAATGTATCTCTAAAATTACGTTACCGAAATTTAGCATTTCATTTGTTTACCATTTGCTACCAATTTTTCAATAATTCTTATTTCCACAAGGTTTTAGATAGATTTCGGTCAAATAAACTAGAAGACAAAGCATTCTATCGCATTTCTAAGTAAATCACCACTGTAAACATGGTTCTAACTCTATTTACATTAGTTAGGACTGGTGAAACATACCCAGTCCACAATGTAAACATTTTAATTCATAGACAGTAATTCCTTTATTTATCGGTGTTTAACTACCTGTCACAAGTGTATGCCTAACACCATTATTATCACTCTAGTGGTTCCCTAATATATAGGGTATGTTATACACGCACATAAATGTCAACACTATTGTTTCGTCCAGCAGGGAAATAGAGAGAGGGAAATTTATTATAAATACAGCGATCTTGAGTGCTGTTAGAGGTATGAGGGCGGTTATCACTTTCCGGTTTCCCACACCATGAAAGGTTTCTAGAGGCACCTGAATAGAAAATCCGATTAGAAGTGGTCTTGGTGACCTGAGAGTGTGACCTCAGTGCCCAAGTGACAACTGCTTAAGGCCGGCCACACACGACCGTTTTGTGTGTAATTTTTGTGTTAGCTCCGTACTTGTTGGGATCTTACCGCCGGAGTCGGATATCCGTGGGATAAGGCAAGGTGTGCATTCTTAGGGTCGACCTTTTCTAACCTCACTCTTCCTCGTAGGAATACAGTATCGCCGTTATGCTGGTTGTCTGAACGAAACACCTTACTGCCGTCACACCTCTGTACAGTCAGCAGTACGACTTCGCCTTCGGACCTTGTGTTTGTTGCTTTTAGTCTTACCGTTCTTCAACCGACGTAGCTGGCATGGGAGGACCTTAAGGAACGATTGTTCCAGCCAGTATAGCTCGAGTGGATCATTACGATAGTCAAGCCCGACCACCATGTCGTGGTAGCAGCAACGGTGGTGTTTGCAGTACAACATCGATTCAAGTACAATCAAGTTACATATTGAATGTTATTAGAAAGGTATACTGGTGAGAAAGAATGATGCAAATCGTTGTGTACGTAGTGGTTCATAATTTTTAAAATTTTAAATCTAACATCTTGATAATGGTATCATGGTAAAAGGTAGATAATGACTTGAGTTGCTTCGGAATTTGAACTTCCAGATTTCGAAATCACTAGTCTACCTATCTAACAACTTAGCAAAAGTATCTATGTATATCTGTGCCCAGTATTCACCGACCGATTGAATAATTTTTATTTTTCTGCTTTTGTAATTTGACTGCCGTTTAGTCGATTGTTTAACTTCAACCCAGTGGTTTGCACGTGGCCTACTATCGGTTGAGTAGCAGGATTAAACTTTACTTCTTATACTTTAATTTCAACAACTCTACACTAAGTGTACGTCATTGTGAATGGGTTACCGTTTTCTACTAGCATTTAAATTGTTTCTTTCATAACTTTTTCCCCTATAATGTGACTAACTTTTCATAAATCCTCTTTTTTACTTCTTTACTATAAAACATTTTAGTTGTTCACGTTTTAGTTTAACAGATCTTGTTTGGCATACAATGAGTGAATTGGACTCTCCTAGATCTCATCATACTTTAATATGTATTGAAAATTATTTATATGTATTTGGTGGTTATTGTTTAAATTGGGCAACAAATTATTCACCAGCTAGCGATTCAATTTTAACATATGATATCTGTACAAATAAATGGAATAATTCAAATCATAAATTACCATTTGCTTTAGTAGATACATGTGCATTACTATTAACTCATAAAGGTATATATATATAATTCAAAATATTTGTATCAATCTATTTAGTTATTAATTCTATGACTTTTCATCTTACCTACAAAACATATATTAAGAAACTGAATAGGGGATTATGAATATCATTTTATATAAGGTGTCTAGATATTCGAATTTTTTTCTACTAGTATTCAACTCTAGTTTTAATAAATTTTCTCGTACATGAAGTGTTCGTTAGTATTATTAGGCCTTGTCTAGTTATTGATTCGTTTTGAATTATATTTCAAAGGTATTAATACCTAACTACATGATTCAGAAACCGGACTCAGTAGCACGAAACACAGCAGAAGCACTCACTATTTTCTCATTGACTTTAAATCAGTCTCCAACATCTGACATCGCAAAGCAAACTGAGGAATTCCATTACAATACTGATTAACTATGACACGGTACAAAATGCAGGTATATGGACAGAAAAATTTGATGTATCATTGAGAATTGAACTCAATTTTATGCGGACACGTCAAAATTCCCAAAATAACAATTAGAGAAATCATTTGTTGGGTGATTCTGGTTGAGCTTTTAGGAAATTTTGTACTTCTCAGCAGCGTTACTGAAATAATTTACAAGGGGTTATACTCATTTACATAAAAATAACAATTTTATCATTGTTTAGTGTACTGGATACACTCGATTCGAACTCTGTTGATAAGGACTGATTCAACTAGAAATTTTATGACCGAAAATGGAATTCGATAGTTGAATTCGTGGGTCAATTGAAGCTATCTCTCAACAAACTCACTGAAGCAATGGTGGATGTGTCACCCAATTTTGTGGATTAGTTGAAGTTAGACATTGCCACCGTTGAATGCCGGTTCAGTGGTCTAGAGGTTAAGCGTTCGTGTGCGAGACCGAAGGTCCTGGTTTCGAATCCCGCGAGCGGGATCGTAAATGCTCACTGCTGAGGAGTTTGATGCCAGGACGAAATGACTGTCCAGTGCTTCCAGGTTTTCCATGGTGGTCTAGTTCCGATTGACTCATGAATTCAACTATGGAATTACTAAAATCTCCATAAAACCTTCTTCTGATAAAAATGGAATCGTGAATCTAGGTGTTTTTACACAGCATAGTTGTAGAGTGAGATTACTGACATTATGCAATACTCTTTTGTACCGAACTATACTATTCAATATTGAAATCTTTAACTGTTGTCTAAGTGGATTGTTTCAAGTGAACTCTTGTGCAAGCGTTACTTTTCTCATCATTATAAACGCTAGGAATCAGTTTCTCTTATATCAAATAGCTAAAATACTCAATTTTCGATCAATACATTGTATAGTTCGAGCCCTCTCTTGTTTGATGCGACCTAGGAAACCGAATGGTATTGTCTCGAAAACTGAGCACAATCTGTTTTAAATTGAATTAGTTTCAATTGGTCATGTTCATTCTTACTTATTTTATGTTCGGTTTTTCAGAACACATTCTAACCATCCATTGAATCGTTGTTTTGTACCTGAATAGGAGGATCAGTTTACAATAATTGTATCTTGTGAAAAAGTTGTTTTAATATTACGTTTTAAATCCGAAAACAACATTTTACCTTACTATTAAGCTATTAGGTCTGATGCTTGCTACACTAGTGTAAAATTATTCAGATAAAGGATGATATTAGCGAGTATAGAAACTATAACTATCCATCTTCTATATTTGCTTAAAATGCCTGTGACTTGACGGCGATATCGAGACAATCCGCACAAAATATACTTATACCAAAAGAAACTGATCAGTTGCAGTTCTGAACATTAATGCGAAGATCCAAACAACCAATATATATGTGTAGGAGTAATCATTATAAAAATAACAATTTTTGATTAGCCGTTCTTGTTAATAAAAGTAAACTTGATTCTCACTACGCGTTATATTTATTTCTTTAATGCTATTGATGACAAAAACAAGGTCTTATTATGTTTGCTGGTGGTCTTGAAGAATATGGTGATGAAATGCGTCCGTCTGATTGTGCTTTTCTATATGATCCGACAGAAGAAGATGGAGAAAATTTCAAGTTTCTACCAAAACTACCAATGCCTCTGATCAGTGCGGCATTGGCTTGTGACACTGTAGAAAACCAAGTATTTTTGTGCGGCGGTCGAATCAGTGTTTACGGCTCGGAACTTAGTGATATTTCAAATAAAGTATTCTGCTTTAAATTTAGTACAGTGAGTTCATTGATTTTCTGTAGATAATATGCCTACAAAATATCCTATATTACACTTATTTATTTATTTGAACACATAAATATTGGTACAAAGGGGCACCGAGTACATATTCACCACACAAGTCACTTGATTTGTGTGTGGGCTGTGATACTGCTTAGGTGCCCAGGTCGGAATTGGTGGTTTTCTTAGGGGGCCACACCCGGAGCCTTTGACCTAAAGGTCTGATCCACAAGGCAGTGGAGCAACGTCAGGAGATGCAGTTTCATGATAGCCGGTGACCAATAATTGGTTCATACACCATTTGTTCCCTTCAGGATCCTGGAGCCTATGTGCACCATTGGTTTGAGATCAGGGTTTTCCAACTCCCCTAGGTGGACTTTCCGTGTCCACTAACCCGGTTAAAGCGCCGGACATTCGCTTTTCGTCCTCTCACTTTCGTGAACAACACCCCCACCACGAGAAGGCAGTGAGTAGGACTTCCCTGGTAGTGGCTGTATACACGTGGCCATGTGAGAGGATTTCGAGAGGGAGGGTTGACTTTCCCCACCCCCAGCCGTACCAGGGCATTTGGGGGTAGTATACTATACATTTTATGCTATTGTTCTCTAGCAACAACCGTTCATCAGATGAATATGAGATATGATTTCGTGGATTGAGCTTATGAACGGCAACCAGATTAAAATCAGTGTCATAGTGATCAACTAAATTCTCTCTATTAGCTCAATTTTTGAACTTCGTATAATCTATTTACTAGTTTGTTGTTCAGTTTAACAGTATCTGAATAAAAGTTTGACACTCGTAATAAATATTATTATATTGGAATATAAAACGGGGAACTTTACTGAAAGCTTTCAGATAAATGTTTAATATATATAGTTTATGATGTCTAGGAGATTAAACAGGTCAGATGCTTTAGACGATGTTTTTACGTTCTCTAGCTAGAAAATTTAGTTAATCCTTAGCAGCTGTTAATGTTCCCTAGAACAACATTTTGAAAGCTTCATCAGTAAAGGTTAGTTTAAGTGGTTTCCAATCTTTGAGATGCTTAATAATTACTGAACATAGATCGGCAAAATGAATAAGTGAATTGTATGGCAGGTAATCCACTAACAGTAACACTGAACAGTAGATTAAATGTCAAGAAAGTAAAAATATTAGTGTAATATCAGTTAAGTTTACATATTGTCGGTAGACAATTAGAGATAATTTATAGTAGGTCAGTTAAAACAGAACTCTTTACCATAGAAAGATGGGAAGAATTAAGAGGTGCATCAACTGTTTATTCCTTTTTTCGTAACAAATAAAATAGCAAAATGTACGGTATTTACTGGTCTTTAGGATTTGTACGAAGTACTTACATGTACTTACATGTTCAACCATTAAAATATCATCTGGAGAACATTAAAAAAACCTGGCTGAATATATAATAATGGAATGAAATTATGCCTTTGATCAAACAAGTATTGTCGTTACTAACTTATCTTTTCATTCTATATTTTTGGTTCATATTATCAACCTTTGATTCTTCTCATTATCATTGATACTAAATCCTTTTGATTTCTTTGTTATTCACCTCATCTTTTTAATTTTATCTCGTCGTGGTGATGTGTTATGGCTACTTGACCCAATGCATATATATGTCAGACTCTACCTTGTGTACGACTGACTTACTGTTCACTTTGATGGATTTTATTTAGGAAAAAATCGTTTTCTCAGTGAGCATTGTATTTTTCATAGTTGAAATCACGAGTCAATTGAAATTAGACCACCATGAAAAACCTGGAAGCACTGGACGGCCGTTTTGTTCTATTATGGGACTCCTCAGCAGTGCGCATCCACGATTATTGTTTTGTTTCTCATTAATTCAATTTTCTATGTATCTATCCTTTTTAATTGTTAATTATAGTGATAACAGTTTGTATTCATTGTTGAGTTATATAGTCAATTTACATTTCATCAAGTTCACTGTCGGCAATTGAATAATTTTAGGTATAAAGCAATGATTACATGTTTCTAATTTATCTCTATTAACCAAAAGTACTGATATTCAGGTTGTTTAAATTTTGTGATATTTTCAACTATATTATTTTGTTTCTTATGTTTTCATCGAATCGTTAAATAACTGAAGCATTTTTTTGTGTTTTAGAATTGTTGGACTCAGGTCACTGTACTAGATTTTCCACGTTACAATGCTTTCTCATTTGTACTATACGATAAATTATATGTGATTGGTGGTATTACTATTGATGAAGTCATTGAAAATACACCGAGTTCATTGTTAGCTTCGTTGATCAATGTTGATTATGAAGATTCTGTGATGGATAGACAAATAACTACTACTGATAATGATCGAAATATTTCTCTTAACTTGTTAGAACATTTTTCTGTCGGAAATTATATTCGTCCGAATATCCTACAAGCTCCATTTAGACCATGTCATTTCGCTGAAGGTTGGCAGTTAAGATTACCATCTTCGACATCATCAAATAGCTTGCATAGAACATCAACCCAGTCACGCCCCAAACGTTTGAAATTATCACTTGCTAGATATGCAAATCATTCACCTGTTATATCAAGATGTTATGCAGTTTATTGTATAGCTCCATATTTAAACTGTATGAAGTAGTTGAAATGAAAAAAAAAACAATGTATTTATTACAAGGCTACTTGACCGCTATGTCCATCTAATCGATATTTATTTTGTAAACCTCGTTATCAGAATTACTTTTTCCTCCTCCACCCCATATGATTTTGTAAAATTATGTTTATTATTATTATTATCACTACCTTTTTGTCTTTCTTTATTTTGTCACTTTTCTTTTGTTTTTATTGTTAACTTGGTTGTTCAATAGTTGATTTCTTATTGCTATTTATGTAGTTAAACAACATTTACTTCATATCATATTAAAATTATTGTAAATCACTTGTTTTCATTTGAAAATTTTCATTTTTCTGTTGAACGTAATGCTAACAATAATCGATATGATATATATATATATATATATATATATATATATATATATATATATATATATTGAGAGCGTAATTATGGACCTTACTAAATGTTTTGTTTCAATTAAACTTATCATTAGTGTTCGGTTAGACTATCGGAAACCGTAGTTCCTGTTTATTTATTTTTTTAAACGATTGGTCAAGTAATCTAATATTTAGTTCAATCTGGAAGGCCATTGTTATTCCAAGTGGTGAGCTCATCTAAAGTGGTCCAATTTTGTATCTGCAAAACGAGCTGGTATCGTATTGTTAGACAGCGTTGCAACTGTGAAGATCAATGGTCAACTGAATAACAATTGGTTCAGAATCGTTGATTTTATGTGTGGATGTTATCGTAAGCTTGGTATTCTGGAGAGCTAGTGGAAAATTCCAACCAAATACTAAAGTATTTAGGGAAATCGAGTAAAGCATTTCGAATATATAGAGGTTGGAACCCTGTTTCACTTTTTATCTCTATAAAGTGATGAGATCTGGGTATATTCTGAGTCAAATTTACACGGTTTTACGTATTTTTATCATAAATTATGCATGAATAACTTTTTATAGTGCCCCTTAAACATGACTATAGAAAAGATTTGTTGTGTACTTTTTATTTACCTAATTTTTTATATAGTCCTCATCCAGCAGACTAGATTATTTAGTCATAACACAAATCACTCATTAGTTCTGTGATCCTAGCATTGACTAATCTAAGATGAATATATTCTTTGCTGATATTTGTTAATTAAAAACCTTGATTTCTATTCCACTTACGAATCGCTTCAAAATATTTTTTTTCACATAGTTCTGATAATCTTCGTCTTCTTATTACACTATCCAAATTTACCAAAGGGACTAATTGCTTCAAATATGTATTTTTTGTCAGTTAAATTGTTCCGTATAAGAATAAGCTAAATAGTTCGTCAAGATAAATATCGGAAGTGTAATTATTTAAATTGGTTAGGAATGTAGTCGTAACTTGGAGCCGAAATTTGTTTGATTTCCCAAGATGTTACTTCATCCAGCCATTATTTATCAAGTTTTCTTGCCTGTCAGTTCTGCCTGATTCTTCCAGTCATGTTCGTTTCAACTGAGCTGCGTTCCAGTTTGCATAAATTAAAGGCATCAACAGTATCAAGTCTAACTTCTAGAAAAAATGCTTTAGTGATTACGATATAAATGGGACAGTCCGATTCAAAGGTCAACTGTGAGAGAATATAGCTTGTTGAAAAGGTCTAACCCATTAGAATCTGACCACCGACTTAGTTTCCTTTTAGTACCAATTACTTTGTGCTCGTGTGAAATATTTTGATGAAACTGAAAATGATTCGATTATGATCTCTGCAGTATCACAACAAACTTGCACATTCTTCACACTTTCTTAACTATTGGTGACTGTGTTACTTGGCAATTTCGTGAATCATTATGTTTTGTCTTTTCCGGTCTCCCGAAGACTAAAAGGTCCTAAACTTGATTAGATGCTAGATCGTAGGTGCTCAGTGTTTGAAAGTTCCCAAACTAAAACGAAGCAAATATCTAGTGTCATTTGACTTTCTATGCTACTCCAGCTGTTGTCAGTCTCTGGTGTAAACTAACTTCTAATTCATCTGGTGAAACCCATTTTACTAAGTATTTTTTATTATTACATGATACCCTATCTGTGCTTAATCTTATAGTGATTTTCTGTTGCACCAATTTATCTTTGTGAGACATTCTATATAGTCATGCTTTCTTCTAGTGCTCTGTATTATGTTTTTTTATCCAATTGTCCTTTTTTTTCATTTTCAAGTAAAATATTCTGATCTGAACGCAAGTCTACAGTACTTTTCAAGTTTGTTACTGTAGTGAATGTATTTATTATTCGTCAGAGGATATTAAATGTTATGGGCGAAATTCACCACTAACCTTCAGCCAAATGGATAAACTAAACTCAGATGATAATTCTAAATCCTCCGCTAATTTACCACTGCTAACTCCAGACAAATCAATGCCACAGACCATTAAACGTCTACCGAAAGAAGTAATCAATCGAATTGCTGCTGGCGAAGTAATACAACGTCCTGTAAATGCAATTAAAGAACTCCTAGAGAATAGTATAGATGCTGGTAGTACAATGATAAAGGTACTTATACGTGGTTTGTTTCACTTTAAGTCTTTTTATTTAATTGATCAATACTATCTCATATCAGCTCTTTCTATTATGTAATGAAGTCCATAGTTATGTTTTTTTCATAAAACATATTTTTTTGAAGTTGTTCATAAAAATTTGTTAAGTATATCTCTTAAAAAGATTGTAAGATATGGAAAACTGTTAGCAATAGTGAAATACTGAAACAGGTGTTTTGCTCTGTTTTGAGACTCATTAGAAATTCGTACACTGAGCTGGAATTATCCAAGTATCATTAAATTATTGACTATTAATTTAACTGATTAATCATCAATGTTATTAACACATTTTTGACTTTTACTCAGTAAAGCATGATTAACATTGTGTTTTTTTTCAAAAGTCAATACCTATTCCTGAAAAAGTCATCTCTTGACCTATTGAATTCCCATTTTATCAACTGGATTTACAGGAAGTACTTTATCTATTCAACAAGTGAATTTCTCAGAGGTTTTCAATTATTTCGTAGAGGTTCCGAGCTACATATTAGCTTTTGTTTATTAGTACTAACATATATTTGGTTAATACAATAAGATGTATTTTAAACAGCTAAAGTGGGTTGATAATTAATATTTCTTAATTATGAATGGATTTTAGTCAAGTTAAATTCTTCTAGTATGTCAATCGCCAGAATTTAGCTCTTAGTGTAAAAACAGGGATTGAAAACATTGATGTTTTTTTTTATTTAAAAGGGTCAAGAGTCAGGTAAATTTTTGAACGCTCTCCATCTTGTGTAAGTTATTCTTGAAAGTTGCATAAATTTTGTGGAAACTAAACTAGAATAATACAGATTTCCAGTTCTCCCTAGTTTTCAGGGGTTGTTTATATGACAGTTCGTGATGAACAATTCTTTACACATCTTCTGTAAATTCCATTTTGAAAGTTTTGTGTGTGAAAATCCCTCCATGCATACATTTGCAAAGTGTTCTTATTGGTTTCTTTAGTTGTACATGTTGTTATTCTTTTTGATGCCATTTAAGATGGTATTATTTTATTTTATTATAGTTTTCTCATTTTTCTTTCACCTTCACTGAGTTTCTATGTTTCTTCCGGAACTGTATTTATGTTGTTTTAGTTAATACCTAGTCTTGGCGGCAGCCATATTGATTGTTCCCCCTTTGATTGTTTTGCTTGAGTTGATTGTGATTGTGAATTGTTGCACTTTTCCAGAATTGTAAACACTTTGTGTTATAAAGCAACAAAATATTATCTTTTGAACGGATTTTTACGTGATCTATCCAGAAAGGGTAGAATAACACTTATTTTTTGGTGCGCTCGGTAATTTTCTTACATTTTTTATCAGTTTGTCTATTTATTGTAATTTAGATTGATTATTGAGGGAACAATTATTGGTTGAATAACTGAGCGGTAATATTTGTTTAGGTAATAATGTACATTTGTATTTATGATGAAATTTAGAACCGTTATTTTCCCAATCCCCTTGTTTTGATTTCAACTGGGCAATAGCGCGTGTCTAAACTAAACCTTGGTTTGGATCTTACACCTTCCGTCATAATAAAAGATCTTAATAGTTAGGTGGCTAGCTACCTCATTCAGATTCTTCCTGATAATGTGGCCAGTAAGGCAAAATGTGAAGGGCTACTGAAGGAAGACATAGAATCACTAAGTATATAAGCTATTGCAGTATGTAAAATATTGATTGCATCATATCTTAATTCTATTCTGATTTTATACTGTGTCAATAAACAATGATCCTGATCTATCATCTGTCTCTTAATTGTTGGTCTGAATTATGTATCTGCATGTAATCTTATCTATTTTAGTGTTCAGTGTATTATCGTATTTCATAGTTGAAGACAAACCCCTTATTATTAATATTATAATTTTTTCGACACTATATTTTCATTCATTTATTAATTGATCATTAATAGGTGTTACATTTATGACATAATCGTATATAGCAAGTAGTTGTTATGTTTTTTGCTCATTCACCTCTTGTAACCTGTTTTCTTATTGAAGTGACACTCTTGTTTTCTTATACTTCATGGAAATTTTCACTTGTGACTTTATCTCGTTGCTCATACCCTGGTTTCTGGTGGTTGAGTTAATTTAATCACTTAACTAATCTGTATTATTATTTAAGATATTTTCTTTTTCATACTAAATTTTTTTTCTTTTTTAAAATAGATTACTGTTAAAGATGGAGGTTTAAAACTTATCCAAGTTCAAGATAATGGTTGTGGTATACATCAGTCAGATTTGCCAATTTTATGCGAACGTTTTACTACAAGCAAATTAAAAGTTGGTGGTTATTATATTTCTTATATTTTATTAATTATATTCTCCTTCAATTATCTCATTTTCATGTAGTTGTATTTTGATTGAAAAATGATTATGTATAAATAAATAATCAAACGATTAGTTACAAAGGGGGATTTGTAGAGATCTTGAAATTGTATAGTCTGCATCAAACATTGAATCAATAGCTCAAAACAGAACTTAATATTGAT